TTTAAATTCTGACATTAGTAAATAACCCTGTTAGTCTGAATGGTCCTTTTGAAGGGGTGACTAACATTGACACAGAAATCAAGACCACTGCAACCTAAAGGCTGGCTGAGAATGATTGGAAATGTTGTTCACAAATAAGCTAACCGAACCAGGAAATAACTGTAATGCAAAGGTTAACTATCACTGGAATAGCGTTCTTATCGTCTATCACATTCTTTGTTTCTATAAGGAGACATTCTGTTCCTCGCAGAGATCAGGTGCCTAACACAGCAGCAGTAATTTAGAACTGTTCTCCGTGGAAACTAGCAGAACATAAATACTATTATACACAATTCCCTTTATAGGACCCGAGGGTGCCTAGCTCTCTAGTGTAACTGGTTACCCCTTCCCTTGGTAGCTAGGGGTACACAAGTCCTTAATTACCCCCAAAGAATAAACTACCTCTCCCTCACACTAACAGGTATTAGTGTGGGAGAGGGGGCACAATTTCAAAAAAAGAAAACCCCGTAAAAGAATAAATGTTCCATGTTGAATTCTTGATTGAAGACCTTCATTATCTTCTACATTCAAGCCATAGATATATGTCAATGAAACTAATAAAAAAATTCTCAAACTGCGAATCAGTCATAAAAATAAAAGGTACCACAAAAAAAAAAAAAATCTTAATGACTGAGCCAATATGCAGATTTAACTGGGCACCATCTGGCCCTATTAACCCAGTGAAAGCCACGCGATTCGGCATTGCCTTGTCCCAATAACCCCTTAAGTGCCAGATAGTGCCCATAATATTACCCTTTACCCAACAACCACCGGGTGGAGAATGCAGTAGGGGCCATTTGTTTGGCCGTACAATATATTCTTATTTAATGTTGTTGTCTATGTCTAATGCACTCTGCCGTGACACTGAAATAGTTAATGTCCCAGCGTGTCCTTTATTACATGCTGGGGGGGGTCACATACCCCACATACCCCAGCAGGTATATTTTTGGTATTGGTTTTATATATTTATTGTTGCAAACGAGTGTCGCTGTCTGTAGCTATTAATTATAGTTATAATTATTAACTATAGGGTTGTAACAGTTCTTCCTGACAGTGTGCAAATCATCTACATACGCTTGGAAAATAACCATAACTAAGTTGTACTTATTTACACCCAGAAGTTAGCTTGCAGGCCACGATAAAAAAAATCTCACTCATTTTAGTGAGCTACACTGATTTTACCACCAACTAGTAAATTGACCTGTTTATGTCAATACCCCACATTTTAAGATGTTATCATTTGCCTTCAATGTATAGAACTTTCACTGTAAAGCTCAGAGGCATTTAGTCTCTTGTTTAATGACCTAACGTCTATTTTTATGAATAAATGCATAAATGGGCCATAGCTTCCTTATAACAATAATTTATTTCTTCTTTCTCTAGAATATAATCTATTACACATAATATTTAATGATTATATTTTACATGTATGCATATAAATGGGCATGGTCATTGCAAAGAGCACAGTGTTGATGTCTGTCAATTGTACATACTGTAGATGGGAGGTAGAATCCTTAGTTGTAGATGTAACAACACCGATGCATTTACAAGAATCTCCAAATTTAAATTTGAACCTTAAAGGGACACTATAGTCACCAGAATAATTACAGCTTAATGTAGTTGATCTGGTGAGTATAATCATTCCCTGCAGACATTTGCATGTAAACACTGCCTTTTCAGAGAAAAGGCAGTGTTTAGATTGCTCCTTATGGAAACCTCCAGTGGCCACTCCTCAGATAGGAAAGCATTGGATTGGCCAAAATAATGTAATTCTGATCATGTCAGCAAGGAGGCGGATCGGGGGCGGGACCAGCACCGGCAGGCCTGCCCGGCATGGGCGTCCGCAGGGGGGGGCAAGGGGAGGGCACTTGCCCCCCCCCTGGATTTTTCAGCCTGTTCTGATATTTTTCGTGTGAGATTTAAAATGAACTGCAATACCGGCGTGTATGGAGAGAGACAGGGATAGGAAGCTGCATCTTATCCCTGCTGATTGAAACCGCAGGGGAGCAACACATGCAGCCAGAGACAGCCTACAGATCAGGTAAGTGGAGGGTGGGGGGGGAGGGTTTGAG